TCTGTAATCAGTATCAGGTACAGCCTGAACAATGTGTACACTGTGATCAGTATCAGGTACAACCTGAACACTGTGTGCACTGTGATCAGTATCAGGCACAACCAGTATCAGGTACAACCTGAACATTGTGTTCACTGTGATCAGTATCAAGTACAACCTAAACACTGTGTACACTGTGATCACTATCAGGTACAACCTTAACACTGTGTTCACTGTGATCAGTATCAGGTACAACCTGAACACTGTTCACTGTTGATCAGTATCATGTACAACCTGAACACTGTGTTCACTGTGATCAGTATCAGGTACAACCTGAGCACTGTGTACCCTGTAATCAGTATCAGGTACAACCTTAACACTGTGAACCCTGTAATCAGTATCAGGTACACCCTGAACACTGTGAACACTGTAATCAGTATCAGGTACAACCTGAACACTGTGTACACTGTGATCAGTATCACGTACAACCTGAACACTATGTTCACTGTGATCAGTATCGGGTACAACCTGAACACTGTGTACACTGTTATCAGTATCAGGTACAACCTGAACACTCTGTTCACTGTGATCAGTATCAGGTACAACCTGAACACTGTGTTCACTGTGATCAGTATCAGGTACAACCTGAACACTGTGTTCACTCTGATCAGTATCAGGTACAACCTAAACACTGTGTACACGGTGATCAGTATCTGGTACAACCTGAACACTGTGTACACTGTGATGAGTATCAGGTACAACCTGAACACTGTGATCAATATCAGGTACAACCTGAACACTGTGGACACTATGATCAGTATCAGGTACAACCTGAACACTGCGTATACTGTGATCATTATCTGGTACAACCCGAACGCTGTGAACACTGTAATCAGTATCAGGTACAACCTGAACACTGTATACACTGTGATCAGTATCAGGTACAACCTTAACACTGTGAACACTGTAATCAGTATCAGGTACAACCTAAACACTGTGTACACGGTGATCAGTATCTGGTACAACCTGAACACTGTGTACACTGTGATGAGTATCAGGTACAACCTGAACACTGTGATCAATATCAGGTACAACCTGAACACTGCGTATACTGTGATCATTATCTGGTACAACCCGAACGCTGTGAACACTGTAATCAGTATCAGGTACAACCTGAACACTGTATACACTGTGATCAGTATCAGGTACAATCTGAGCACTGTGTACACTGTGATCAGTATCATGTACAACCTGAACACTGTGAACACTGAAATCAGTATCAGGTACTACCTGAACATTGTAATCAGTATCAGGTACATCCTGAACAATGTGTACACTGTGATCAGTATCAGGTTCAACCTGAACACTGTGTACACTGTGATCAGTATCAGGCACAACTTGAACACTGTGTTCACTGTGATCAGTATCAAGTACAACCTGAACACTGTAATCAGTATCAGGTACAACCTGAACAATGTGTACACTTTAATCAGTATCAGGTACAACCTGAACACTGTGTACACTGTGATCAGTATCAGGTACAATCTGAACACTGTGTATACTGTGATCAGTATCCGGTACAATCTGAACACTGTTAACACTGTGATCAGTATCAGGTACAACCTGAACACTGTAATCAGTATCAGGTACAACCTGAACAGTGTAATCTGTAC